CGAAGACAAATTCCTTGTGTATATTTTATACTTGGTCATTAAAGTATTTGTATTGTATTTGAAAGAGAAGAAGAGAATGACCAGCAGCAAGGTGGATGGACTTAGTTATAGTGGCGATGAGTGCACCATTGGGAGACTTCAAAGAACAGGTCAGGGATAGATGGTCATGGAGAAGATCTATCGATATGGTCGCTAGGAAAACAGCTTCACTGTTTAGGATTTCCCTTTTCCTTCAGAACTATCTTGCACAGTAATTAAGATACTGGACCAAGATTAAACTCAGATTCAAGCCCACATTAGCCATGGAAACTCACTGGATGACTTTGGGCCAGTCACTTCCTCCTATCCAAGCCCACTCTATCAGTCAAGGTTACTTTGTGGGGATAAAATGTATGCCACCTTGAGTTCTCAAAGACAAGACTATGCATATATGTCTGTGCGTGTATGCACAGTAAATCAACCAACCAGCCATTAATGACATGCAGCGACATCTGTGGTGCTCTGAAATGAAGCTTGAGACTTACCAAATCCAGAAATCCAGGTGCATCATATTGATAGTCTAGTGCTGGGTTCAGAATTCGAGGAAAATCAGAGATGTCACTTTCAGAGGAGTCTCCATCACCTGAGAGAAGGATGGACGCAGAGAAGGGTGATGTGTCATTTTCCGGTGGCAGTGAAACCATCCATTCTTCACTCTCCTTGGATTCTGTGCTGTCTTCAGGAGGAAGCCACTTTGGAAGGTCTGTAGGATAAGGCAACTCAAAAATGGGCAGCTCAGTCTCCAGGTCAATTGGTGGTACATCAGCAGAAGATGTGGAAGGGCTTCCAGTCTGGTTAGGGGTTAGAGGATTTAGGAGAGAAGATGTAGGGACTTTCTGGGCAGAAGATGGAGTGGAGGAACTTTCAGCCTCAAGGGAAGGAGTCTTTCCCACTAGAACAGGCTGGGGTGTGCTATACATGACAGTAGAGGAAGAATCAGTAGAGCCATCTTCAGGATCTGTGACTGGTTCTGAGGTAGGATGCATTGTGGAAGAAAGTATCTCCAGCTGGCTGCTGGAGAGATGCTCTGAGGTAGGACCAGCAGTTGCAGTAGTAGGCCCTTGAGTAGAAGGCAATGTCAGAGAATCCCAGGTTGTCTCCAGCAACGTAACAGCACCTGTGGTGGACAGAGGTGCCTCTGTGAAAGTAAGGGCTTCAGGCTTCAAAGTAGTCAGGGTAGAAGTGGCTGGCAGGCTGGTATAGATAATGGGGATGGTGGTGGGAGTAGGCACGGAAGTAGTCCCAGGTGTTTCTGAGAGGACAGGGGGTTCAGTGGCCACAATTGGCAAAGATGACTGTGCTGTACTTGGAATGGCTGAGGAAGGTAACGGGCTAGAGTGCAGTATTTTTGCCTGGAGAAGTGCAAGGGAACAGAGAAGAGGTAGCTAGTCAGAGATAGAAGAAAACAGGATCAGAAGGAGGCAACACTCTGTGGCTGAGTTCATACAACATGCTAAACCACAAACCCAGCTTAACCATACCATTGCTATGTTCACATTGAATGCCACCCCCAAACAAATAAAGCATGTTACGGTGTAATGTGACAGCCTGGATCACAGGACCTGCTAAGTGGGCTTCTGCAATACAAACCCCTGAAATGCATTTTAGTCTACCCGGTGTGTTATGTAATACCATTTTTTAAAACATGAGAACAATTCTTGCTTAGTTGGGGGTGGCAGTAGTGGCCAGAGATATACAGGCATGAAAATTAAAACATTTCTATTTTCAGAAAGCAATCCTAAGAAGATGGACTTTACATAAATAGGAACCCACTTATTTCCAAGTTTTCTTGAAAAGTGCCCAGAAGCATTCAAGTCTCTGTGAAGGTCTCATATTCTGAACCAGACCAATGTTCCACATAAGCTAAGAGTCTTACAAACTAGGAACTAGCTATCTTTTCAGCCCCGGTGCTTTGTTGCTATTTGGGTTGGGGGCTGCACATGTGTCTTTAATCTTCACATGTGTACACATGCTCACACACGTGTATTCGCAAATCCCTCACTGTCATCATTCTAATAGAAGACCTATGAAAAATCTACCTTCTTATTGTAGATGATGGACCCATCTTCACAGATAGTTTTGTGCGTGCAGAGGTGTTGATGGACACACCAATTACACCCCCAATGGCTGCTCACACATCCCTGGCATCTAAGAACAAGAACACAACAGCTGTTGAGTAGGCCCAACAAATCAGAGTAAGAATGCAATAATGGAAAAATGCATCTGGGGAAAGGAAACATCTCTTCATGGACTTACGGTGCAGATCTCCTCAGTGAAGCCACAGCAGTACAGTCATAAAAGGAGAAAGTTGTTGAAGCAATGAAGATGTCGTGGAAGCGCACCTCCAGCTGGATGGTGATATGGTCTGAAAATGGAAATCAGGCAGGCTTCAAACATGATGCCATAGCAAACAGCACTTGCAGCTGGAATTTATATTTCCAGTGGAAGGACTTATAAATATTTCTTGTTTCTTTCGTGTCTATGCTTTAGACATAAACAGGAAAGATTATTCAGAGAGCTGGCTGAAGGGAGGCTAAGCCTCCTTCAAGTCCAGTATTTAAGGCAATATTGATCCTGATAACATTCATGAGACTATGCTCAGACCACAAGGTTCATGGTTCCCAAGTAACTATCAGTACCTATAATGACTTAAATCTGGCTTTGCAGGATACTCAGTTAAGGCAGGGTGGACTGATCCCCGTTGACGACTTTATTTTCTCTTGGAGGGGTTTGTGGTAGCCAGGACTGAAGCAAATACAGCTGGGACATAGAATCAAAACTATGGGGGGTGAGAAATATCCATTCTCTAGCACCCTTTTTTCTCTCTCTTTCTGGAAGATTTGCTTCTCTTTCTTTCCCAAGTAGAAGAGAAGGGACAGTTTTTAACCAAAGCTCTAAAGTGATTTGAATTTTAACTGAGGGCTGAACGTGGCCTACTTACAGCCCGCCACTTATCTAAGCTTAAAGGTGAATCATGCTACAGAAAATCTACAGTAGGCCTCATATCTTCTCCTAGATCAGTGGGGGAAGTCTATGGGATCCCCAGCCCTCCTATGTGGCTCCTAGAGTGGTTGGATTAACATTTTTGGACCTTTCTGAACACTGGGAGTCTGGGAGATCTTAAGGTGTTACCTGCACAAATTAAACATTGAGCAGATTTTTTCCTCCTGTTTTTAGGGACTTAGGGAGCAGCCTGTCCCAAAATACCAGGCCACATTTTCAACCTTGATCATTCTGGTAAGGTCGCTAGTTATTCTCCTCACAGCTTTGCAGCTTCAAAGCAAGGCAGAATGGAAAGGGGTGGTCCTGAGACTGAAAAAGAATGTCCACTCTAGCTCTGCATCAAATACCATCAAGCTGAACCTGGCTGAAGAACCAACTGGTATCATTACAAAGCAAACTTACTGTTTCATTCTAGCACAGTGGCCTGGTTATCCTTTCTAAAGCATTTCCACCACTCCCAGACACTACAGGGATCTCTCTGAACTTGTCACTCACCTGTCCCTGCATTCAAACTTGGGGCTTGGTTGGGATCTGGGGAGGGACACATAATGCCTGAGCCCATCACTAGAGCTGGGCTCTTATAGTCTCCAAAGAAGCATGAATAGGACTCTCCATCCTGTAGAGCTGGCAAGTCCGAAAAAGTCAGGAATATCTGTCAATCAGAGAGCAGACAGATCAATAGCTTGCCCTTCCTAAGAAAGATTCTCTTGTAATTAGCACTCTCTCATCTTCTGAAAATGAATGGAGGAGAATGGAGGAAAACAGATTTGATGGGGACAGGAGAGATGCTCATACAAATAAGAGAGCTGGGGACCTAAGTCCAGATCTATACAAACTGACAATACCTCTCTTTAACCGTAATTGATAACCAGGCTTCTCCAAACATCCTTGTAAAATAAGTGATACTACAAGATTCTTTGTTGGTCGACTAAGCTGAAAACAGGCCAGACCAAGGCATAATGGTGCCCTTTGTGAACAGTGAATTAAAAAAAGTTTATATTTTGGCTGTAATTGCACAATGTGCTTGATTACGTCAATTATATACTGTATATTGTATTTACACATTGTTTAAGCTTGGGTGGGAATAACTTCATGCTTATGTGTGTGTTTTCTGTTCAATGCATTAGTTTGATTCAGTTAAACAGGTTAATTTAGTAACTAGGTTAAACATGTACATATTTAGTCAAAAATGTAAATTTACTACAATTACATCCATGTACTAATCTCGGCAATTTACTGCTGAGTTAAATCTGCCATCCCTAATCATCTCATTGATTTCCAAGTTGAGGAAGGCCAGTTTAGACTGTCAAAGAAGCAAAGGATTGTTGACTATTTATTTCACAAAAACTGGCATGGTGGAAAACAAGAGAAGAATAGAATGGCCTCTGATGTTCAGGGAGGAGTTCTTTCTTATATGGGATTACCTTATAGGACTAAAGAGGACTAAAGCTTTTACTTGTTCTGAAGGCAAGGAATAACATAACTTGGATTTGGTTCTCCTCACTCACCTAAGAAGGTTCTGTACAAACTTGAAAACCAAGAACGTAGTTAACTTATTAAATATCCAAACCAGCATGAGCTGCGACCCAGGCACTGAACTGGCAAGTACTTCTTGCAGTATGATCCTAAATCAAAAGTTCTGGGCATCCTAAGGTCTGAACTCATGAATTTTGGGCAGTCGCTGAACATTATAAAACGGTGTTTTTTTATTCTTCTATACCTTAAATCAGAAGCAACTTTCACCACCAGCACCAACATTCTGTTCTGTATCTAGAAGCTACATCCATTGCTCTTTATTGCCCTCTGCTGACCTGAGGTTAAATCCTAAATCTTCCTTACTCTAACTTAGATGCTTCCATTTCCATCAGAACTGAAAAGGTGGAAATATCTGGAGACAACTAAGTTAGAGCAAGGAAGATTTAGGATCTGACCTTGGATATACATGCAGAGACACAGAGACAGGACATAAAACATATACTGTCATTCAGTGGCCAACAACATGATTCCATCCAGAAGATTCTAGGTTCAATCCTTGACATTTTCCTATGGAAAGGATTATTGGCTGAAATTCTGGGAGCTGCTACCAAACAATACTGAAGTGAACATACTGTTTGACTCAGCATGTGTCTTCTGCCTACCTGTGCATTCCCCCTCTTCTCTTTTGATCCACACTATGCTTGCATTCCATCCACCTGTACTGAATAGTTTTCTTTGGTTCCCACTGTTATCCAATCAACATCCATTCAACTTTTTGCAATAACAGCAAAAGCATAAGTAGCTTCCAAGTTCCCTCTTCCTGTAAAAGATGTGCATGCCACTCAGGCTTTTGCTGTCATTGGATGGTGAGGAACCTTCTCATGATGGTGTCATTGCCTTCAAATGGAAATGTTATGCATCACAGCTCACATTTTTCTGTTCTTCCCTGCTGATGCTGGCGGGGCTCAGAGAGAGGATGGATAGACACTGCTGGGTGGAATGAAAGCCCCATAGCCACTGTTCTTTCACTTGGAACCTGGTGCATTCAGAGCGACGGCTGCATCTGCAGAGACACAGATAAAGACAGGGAAAAGAGATTCTTGAATGAGCAGATTGTATGGAACTGCCTAAAGCATCCATGCTGTTTCCAGAAAATATATTTTCTGCATAGGGAAAGTCGTAAACCCTGCTCTCGGCCCCCTGCCCTGCCCTAAGGGAGTGTTCCTCAACCTTAGCAACTTTAAGATGTCTGGACTTCAAATCTTAGAATTCCTCAGCCAGCATGGCTGGCTGGCGAATTCTGGGAGATGAAGTCCAGACATCTTAAAGTTGCCAAGGTTGAGAAACACTTTCCTAAGGAATAAACAGATGAGGATGAGCTGCAAGCTGGTTTAATTTGGGGAAACTCCCTAACCCCCAGCCTGTGGCTCTTGTGCTGTATCCTGATTCCAAAGCTGATCCTCAGTACAGGTAGTCCTCTTTTAACAACTACTATTAGGACCAGTAACGCGGTTGTTAAGCAAAGTGGTTGCTAAGTGAAACTATGGCTGTGCTTAGGATCTGACTTCAGCTTTCCTTTGCTTTACAGACCTGCAAAGGTCATAAATGCGAGGATTGGTCATAAAGTTACTTTTTCATCACCGTCGTAACTGCAAACAGTCACTAAACGAGGCAGTCGCTAAATGATCTGACTTCAGCTTTCCTTTGCTTTACAGACCTGCAAAGGTCATAAATGCGAGGATTGGTCATAAAGTTACTTTTTCATCACCGTCGTAACTGCAAACAGTCACTAAACGAGGCAGTCGCTAAATGATCTGACTTCAGCTTTCCTTTGCTTTACAGACCTGCAAAGGTCATAAATGCGAGGATTGGTCATAAAGTTACTTTTTCATCACCGTCGTAACTGCAAACAGTCACTAAACGAGGCAGTCGCTAAATGAGGACTACCTGTAATGTTTTTCATCCCTCATAGAAACTAGCAATTAAAGAATATTCATAAGGAAAGAGAAAGTTGAGGGCACATTTATAAATACAAATAATATAGAAATAAGAATACAACACAGAAAAGAAGACAAGCAGAACCAAATAGAAAAATCTATTAGACTTTTCTGGACCCTTTTTAAAAAGTTTTAGAAATTTCCTCCCACCCTAATTCACCAAACAGTGCTGAGAAAATATTGGAAAATATAAATGGAACATCATTTCCAATAAATTTCCTTTTATGCTTCTTGCCTGGTAACATCTGTTTGCATCAGTGTGTGAAACAAAAGATAATAGTCTCTTGGAAGTGATTCTTCTTTCCCATTTAGAATCTGTTTAGTTAATTTACTCATAATTACAAAATCCCAGGAACAGATGTAATCAATGAATTAGTCTGGGAACTCAGATGATCTCCAGAAGTAGGCAATGCACTGCTTAACAAGGAGTTTTAATTAGTACTTTCTAAATTATAAGAAGGACGCCCTGCCAAGCCTATTACAGAGCAAATGTTTAGGATTTGCAGGGACTTTATAACCTACTTCTTGAATTACAGCTTACACGAACTTCCAAAAACATTGTATATGAATTCAGGACTATTGCTGCATGTGAACATACGATTCTGCAGAATCCTCACTGGTGCCCCTGAAGGACTTCTTCAAAATTATCCAGCACAAAGTTATAGCAAAAGCCCTTTGAGAAAATCTTAGGATTGTATCTGCTTGGCCCTCTGGACAGTATTGCATTAATCTCTGGAGGCCAGCAGAGATGTCCCATATGAAAGCAGATGGATATAAATTAAATGAAGTCTTACTTTCCTTGAAGAACACACCAGCCACAATATGGGTCTTTCACTGCCAAACATGACTTGCAATCAGAGAACTGGGAACATTCAAAGATGGGAATTTTGGCCAACTGGAAGAGAGAAGCATAGAATGGATTTCGGTGTGCTATTACATTACACTTATATCTCAACATTCTTCTAAGAGCTCAAGACAATGCACAGAGCAGGTCTCTTCTCATTTGATCCAACAACAGTCTTTGGAAACAGGGAGTCACTGAGCTCTATGGCTGAGCAGAAACTTGAGCCTAGAATTCAGAAGTCCAAGCACCTTTCAAATTAAGAGTCTGTTAACTCTCTAGTATCCTGGGGAGATGGGTGAAGATTCCATAATTTCCTTCAACCTCAACACTTGTCATTTGAAGAAGTGGAGGGGATGAGGACTTAAATCAATTTATTTGATGATCCATCATTGTTTCTGTGTAATTCCCTCCCTTTCAGAAGCAGAAGCAGATTTATCTAATTATTCAAAGTTAGGAAAGATTTATCTGTGTATAAATATATTTGGTTCAGAAGTCACATATTAAAGATTTGGGTTTGGGATAGTTCTTGTTTTTAAAATCAAGGGTATATTATTAGTGCATCAAAATACTGTTTTTCCTAGCTGATTAACTAACTGAACACAACAGCCTTGGTTTAAATGGTGCAGAATATACCCAACCCTGCCCAGTTCTGTCACCACTTGCCCCTGGTGGGAAATTATCAAAGAAACAAAAAGGTACAGCAATAGATAGGAAGGAGGGTACCTGCAAAAGTGGGGGTGGGAAGAGTGGGGGCATGAGATGAAATCTGCTGATATCAGATTGATATCAAGGTTGAAATTCCCAGTTGACTTGGATGTATAGAGCTAGTCCCTGAACAGAAACCTGGTGGACAGCTCATAAAGAACAGAAATTGATCAGTGCCATCAGGCTGGGGGGGACTGTTAGATAACAGGGGGTGAAGAGACTCAGGCCAGGCTCTTTATCTTAGTGGACAATTCCTACCTGCTAGGTTTATTCCACCCAGTTATCTATCTTTTTGCCAGGAAATTGTCTGAACCATTTTTATAATTAAAAAGCTAACATTAACTCCTCCCCACCAGCCCCCATATAGATGCTATGAAATGGGGCTGCTCAGCACTTTGAACTGGATCCCAAAAACGTGCTTTGGAACATTCATGAGTTCAAATGTAGCACCTGTCACTAACTCTTTAAAGCATCCGGGTCTTTTCCCAGGATCACCCAGCAGCTGTAGAGGACAGCTGCCTGGTCTAAGGGAAAGACACAGCTGTTTTCAAAAAATGCAGACGAGGGCTACACAAACACCCCTCATTTTCCAAAACACAGTTCTGGAGCTGAATGCAAAGCCCTGCACAGCCCTATTGTGCAATGTAACTGAGGCCAAAACATAGTTTTGAATGCATACAAGGGTGAGAGTTTTATCTCACACAGGCCAGAGAAAAACAACACAATAAGAAATCTGGCCGCTGCAAAATCAAAGGCCAGATGAAACAGGCCAGCCCTGTCAAAAGAGAGAGCCAAACAGGCCTTACTTAGCGTGGGAAGGAGAAAGAATCACAAGTGGGTTTGATGATTGTTTCTACATAGAGAGCTTGTTCTTGAAACACAGCAGTTGCTGAAATTCTTTGGTTACGGCTTTTGAACTTCTTCAGTAAAATTATTTATCAGAGGTTCTGGATTCTTGTGAGTCTGCAAAGTCTGACAACAAGTCACATTTACTCCAATAGGACTGACTTGCAAATAAATGGATTGCAGTCCATAGAGTGCTTCATATTGAATGCCTACATGTATGCCCAGCCTTAAGTATGGTTATTTAATCAGTCTTAAGTCCTAGAGCCCTTGGGAAAGAGCAGATGATAAGATGAGAGATAAAATAAATTAAAGGAAAGCATGTTTATGAGACTGGTCCCCTTTCCCAATCTCACATCCATTTTACAATTACATCTTTATTTCACTTTGAACTCAGTGCCCTGGTTTCCTGAATAAAGAGTACTTTAAACAATGGCAAAGGTATGTGATTTGAAGTTTCCACAGCAATCATCCAAACAACAGTGGACTAAAAAACATTTGAAAGGCCATGATTATATTTAAATTTATTTAAAGTTGCAAGCAAGAACATCATTTGTTTTAAAATAAATGAGAGCACCAAAATACTTATTAACAAATAAATGATTCTCATTCATTTCCTCAGTGATATTCCTGTAAAACTACTGATCAAATTCCAATTAAATACAGATCTATTTTTTCATCTTATGCACACACACACATTTGCGTGCCTTAGATGTGCTATATACAAGACCAATCAATTTCTTAAGTTGATTTTCTCCAGCTGTCCCACAAAACTTATGCTAAGGTTTGTAAACCTTATTTCTATATTTCTTTATTTCTCTTGGGATCTTGTACTACACTGGTGGCTTTATTTTTAACTTTATTTCAAAATGAAATGCAATTCCATAGGTCAAACTAAATTAATGCATGACCTTTTCCTCTTCCACAGGGGCTTCAGATACTCAACAACCATCTGGATATTATAACTAGCTTTGTTATATTTATTTATGGATGCGTATTTTTCATCCTTTGCTACACCAATGGCTCAGAGAAGTTCACCACAATGTAAGAATATCAGAACAATCTCTCCTTTGAACACAGGAAGAAAAATACATCAAAACACCACATGTGGCTGAAAGTCCAACTGCTGCAGGATCATAAAGATTTCATCAATTCCAAATCATTCTGAGCACCTCTAGTATTTTTAATACTTTTTTAAAAGCAGATTTTCAATAGCAGATCTGAATCATATCCACTTCCTTCAGGAGTCAATCTTCTAGCATTCAAAAGGGAATTATGCCCAAGTGCCTGCGCCCAGCTCCACCACTAGACACCAGAATCCTGTACATGTTTGCTTGGAACTAAGCCCTACTATGGCCCTACCATGTATATTTTACACATATTCTTGAATATGGATAAAATATAGGATGACATCCTTCAATGTTTAGATGCAGAGGATACCTTTTAGTCTGCAATGTTTTTGTTAAGATCTCAAGTGGGATACTTTAGTTGGGGTCTCTGTTTTTGACACTATTGGGGTAACTTAGCAAGCCCTGCACAAAGGAAGATGCTTTCCTCGTCTGCATCAGCAGGTCGTCATTGGTTCTCACCATTGACTGAGTCATAACATAGAGGTGCTCCTTAGCCTGGTCAAACAGGAGGTCTCTACATACTGCACTGTTCGGCTGGATCATCAAAGAAGCATATAGGACGGTGTCTCCTGTTGCTTCCATGTAGCCCTGCAAGGGAGCAAATCAGAATAGCCAATGATTTTTTTGATTTAAGGTTGTAGAGCAGCTCTTGGGGGCAAACTTGTAATTGTGCTGTTTAGTAAAAACAAAGATTATTTTTACACCTCTTGATCAGAAACCTTCCCCAATACGCAATGTTGCAGTCAAAGTAAACCAGGGATTGGCAACATTTTCAGGTAATGCACACTACACCACACCACACAGTCATGTGATGGTGTGGGTATCCCCTGAAACTATGCATGGCCAAAATCTTGCAAGATCATCCAAATCTCACAACATTTTTAAAGGCCCTGATCTAAAATTTTTCATATTCTCACCTGAAATCTTATCAGTGCTATGAAATCTTATGAGTGCCAACTATCCTTATGTTTGTAATTAATTGTTATTTAATTTTGGCAACTCCAGGTACCATTGAAGATGGGCCCAGAGGCCTGATGTCCATTGTCAAGCTCTGGTGCAAATATCTCTTAAGACATTTCTGTACAGTCAGTCAAATTCAGTTATATTTTAGGTTTATAAAAAAGGCTCTGAGAAGAACCTGTGTTGCCGCCTGTTCACTGGGAATATTAGATCAAGATAATGCTGTTAGGAAGAGAAACTTGCCATCTGGAAGGTGGCTGAGGAAGGCCCCTCCCTCCCGATTCTGGTTTGTAAAAAAGCAGCTAGATGTGTACTCCAGAGCACCAGAGCAGAAAGGGGAGCGTGCAAACAATCCAACTTTTGAAAAAGCAAAAGCAAATGGTTGCCAGATATCCTGCAAAGCATTATAGCAAGACCAGAGGGAGGGAGATGGGGAGGAGAAGCTGGGCTGATGTTCACTGCATTAAACTGATGTGGCTGGACATTGCCTGCATTGGAACTGTTAGGATAATATCCCCCCGCTTCTCCAGAATCTCAACCCTCCTTCCCCCAATTTCTCTCTAGAACAATCCTATGGTGTAGTTGGGCTGAGCAAGATTGACTGGCCCAAAGACACCTTGCAAGCTTCTGTAATGGTATGTGGGAATGACTTTGGGAGACAGGAGGAAGAGCCACAGCCTAGAAAACCATCATGCAAAAAGTATCTCAGCCCACAGAAGGAAAAGGGACATGGGAAGCGTCTCAGAAGGGACCCTCCCTAGTTTTCTGGAAAGTAAAAGTAAAGGAGGGGAGAAATGCTTTCAGACTTGCAAGATTCTGTTGCTGTAACCTTACAATAAAGGTAGTGCTCGTGGTTTGTGCTTCTTGTCCGGACTACCTCGAAGGACAGCTTCCGTGGGCGAGGGTGGATCTGAATATGAGTCTTCCAGGCCCCAAGTCCAGCATTAGACCGTGATAATTCTCCAGTATGCAAAAAAGAAGACCCAGTTCTCCAAAGCATAACAAAAAAGTGAATTTGCTAGGTTTCTTTGCCATAAAGCTACAAGTATAGCTTTTTGCCTCCTGGTGTCCTCCAAAGGCCATGCTGACTTGGAATTATAGTGGTAGTTCAACACAAATAAAGGGCACCAGGTAAAGGAAGGGAATTCTAGTACAACGTGTCTCAACCTTGGCAACTTTAAGACATGTGGAACGTACTCCTGAACTCCCCAGCCATCATGGGGAATTCAGGAACAGAAGTCCACACATCTTAAAAGTTGCCAAGATTGAGAAACATGTTCTAGTGGATAAGAAAGCATACAAAATACCATATCTGTTCACCTACTGTAGAGATCATGACGAGAAAACCACTACTTCTTGAATAGCACCGTGTACAACATTTCATTTCAAACCATTCTGAGCATGACATTTCACTAGTCCCATTTGCAGCACAAAACTGTTATTTACAGTCCATTCCAAGCCCAAAACTGCTGTTCAGAACTTGTTCTGCACCTGAAACAGCACTTTCATGCTTCAGATGGGATGTTTGATGAAAGTGTGAGCTCAAAACAGGTCAAATGAAATGGTTTGCACACTCCTATTCCGTGACCAAGAGAGAATCCAGGTGTGAAATAATGTACATCCGGCCTTGGGGAGGGGGAAGAGAGCGATGAACTGTTAAGGGAAGAGGAAGAGGGCAGCGTGAGAAAAAAATCTCAGAACAACACCCCCCCCCCCAACCACTTGAGTTTGTTAAGGATAAGATATGGTACAGCAAAGAGAAACTTAGACAGGGTTTCAGGATTGTTATTCTACCCAGTAAAGAGCATTCCTGGAATCGCTTGTTCCTTGACCTTGCCTACCTCGATTGGCTGATATCAGATCAGAAAAACAGCCAGAGAAGCATTGGAACAGGTGTTTTGGGACATGTCTCTGTAGTCTGGTGCTCTCTATAATTTTTAGCCAACCTATCAGGACTTCACAGGTTGGGACCACCAAAGGAAACCTTCTTCCAGGATGGCTGGTGTGGGTCTTCCGGGCTGTGTGGCCGTGTTCTGGAAGTTTTGTTTCCTAACGTTTCGCCAGCACCTGTGACCGGCATCTTCCAGGATGTTGCTACCCAAAGCATAAAGTCACCCACAGAGGTCCTCCTCCAGGTATTTTCCCACCGTGGTGCTGCAATGGTGCCAAGAAGCCCTTAGATGTTGGAATGTCCTCCTCAGAAAGGTACATCTGGCATCCTGAGTGCTTTCTTTGCAGGCCAAAGCAAAACACGTTTTATTCTTCCAGGTCTTTTAATAATGTGTTGATGCTGTTATGATGTTCACCTTTCCTTTAGCTCCTTTTCTCCTTTTCTTATTGTTTTAATGTTTCCCCTGTTATAAATGTTAGTCTCTTTTTTATACAGTGTTCCAGTGGATGTTGTAATAAATTGTTTTCACTAACTACTGTATACTGTAAAGCAGTGTTTCTCAGCCTCAGCAACTTTAAATGCGTGGACTTCAACTCCCAGAAGCGCTAGGTGGCGCTAATGCCCCCCAAATGAAAAAAGGTTGGTTCTCAGTGTGGACTGACTAGTGTCGGACAACAAGGAGCACTGCTGTGGGACCAGGTGCATCCATGGAGGAGGCATGGGGAGCAAATGATGACATGTGCATGATGATATTGTGATGTCACAGCACCCCCCTTTGGCACACCATCCCCCTGAGATTCATCTGGTGCTTACCTCAACTGTGTTTAAAGAGCCTGGAAAACTGGTTGCTGTTTCTGGACGTTTTTGGGGTCTTTCATTTGCATTTCATCTGCATTTTATGAGTGTTTTTACTCTTTGCTGCCCAGAGTCATTACAGAGTCGGGCTGCCTTGTAAATTGAATAAAAGAAATAAATAAGTACCATCATGCAAATGCCGCAACGTATGTATTTGCATCAGACTTCACAAACAAGTCCGTAATCATGGTCGTTCCGTGATGACATCATCATGCACATGCATCATTTTGGCACCAACGAGGTTTGTTATAGATACTACTGTGTGGTACAGGTGGTCCTCACTTACCAACCACAATTGGGACTGGCAACTCCATCGCTAAGTGATGTGATTGTTAGGTGAAATGTCATGTGACCATGCCTGACTTACAACGTCAGTTCCACTGCAGTCATTAAGCAAATCAATGGTGGTCATTAAGCATAACATTACATGACCATGACTTGAGACTTCCTGCCAGCTTCCCCATTGACTTTGCTTCTCAGAAGCTGGCTGTGAAGGTCACAAATGGCAATCATGTGACTACGAGATTGCTGTGACGGCCACAAATTCGAGGTTCGGTCATAAACCTACTTTTTCAGCACCGTCGTAACTTCGAACAGTCACTGAATGAGGCCGTTGGTAAGCAAGGACTACCTGTACTGCAAAGCCCCAAAATGTCTTTTTGTCTAGCAGGACAGTCAAGCTAAGTGACAACTGAGCTTTAGTTTGAACATCTATGATGATCCTGCAATTTCAGTTTTCTCATCTATAATATGGAAACTGCATACCAGACACCAGGGATTTCTCCTTTTCATGAACCCGCCCAAAATAATTGCCATTCTGGATTGCAAAATCCTTCTTTAAAAAAGAAAAGAAAGCCTTTCAGGGTGACAGCTGAGAAAAAATGTGGTTCTAAATTTTGAGTCAAGGTTGTATTAAATGCCATTGCCGCTAAGGCAGAGATATATCAAATCAAGGTTAATATTGCAAGTTACTTCTTTGTGGAACAATGAGCTCAACTACATTTCCCAATTCAGAAATTTACCTATTTGTCAAAAAACGGTACATTTTATCAAATATACACCATAGGGCACAGTGTTCTACATCTGTCTGCGTGGCCAAAAAGAAGAAAAATTCTTAGTGATACACATTTCTATGATTTAAAGCAAACACAGAAATTGGTACCAGTTGAGGAATCTCAGTCTCTAATTTTTCTTTAAGTTTCTGGTCCTTAGTGTAGCCAGGTGAAGTCTCAGAATTCACTCAATTCACAGAAATCGCTCCATTTCTAGGATCTGTGAGCAGGTATTGTCTGAGAGCCTGATGTGGCCCCTAGCCTTTACTGGTAGAACCAACAGACTTATTAGGGAAAGTAGCCAAAAATGTGCATGACAGTATAAAGTAACTATATTCCTCTATCTGCTACATTTATATGGTAATTTTTCTTTGGGAGTTCAAGGCAGTATGCATGGAGGTTTCCTCTCACAGGTAGTCCTTGCTTAATGACCATTCATTCAGCGACTGTTTGAAGTTACAATGGCGCTGAAAAAATGGACTTACGACCAGTCCTCGCATTTACCACCATTGCAATGTCCCCATGATCATGTGATCAAGATTCGGGCACTGGCACCATTGTGCATTTAAGATGGTCACAGCATCCTGCCTATCTCCCCCCCATCATCTCTGCCCTTTTGGCTGCCCTGCACAGCATGGCCAAGATGAAGGGGCTGCTGTATTCTGCTGCCACTGCCCTCAGCTGACCTTCCTGCTACTTCCTCTGTGTCGTTCCAGGGGTGGGGCAAGCCCAGCGCCGACAGAGCACCCACACCGCCCCGTTGCTGCCACCCGCAGCAGACCTTCTTCTTACGTCCTCCTTGTTGTTGTCCAGGGGGTGGCATGGGGGCTCTGTCAGTGCTGGGCTGTCCCTGCCCCTCACCACCACCCCTGTCCCCAGGATGACAACCAGGAGGATGTAAGGAGGAGGTCTGCTGCGGGTGGTGGCAGAATACAGCGGCCTCTTCATCTTGGCCATGCTGTGCAAGGTGGCCAAAAGGGCAGAGATGGGGGGGAAGATAGGCAGGTGGGGGGAGTTGAAGCCGAGGCAGTTTGTGCAGGGCAGAAGAAGCAAGTCGGCCTCTTCTGACTCAGCGATCCCCTGAAAGCATCTCTTGCCTTGGAAGAACCGAGGCTCAGGCCGGGAGGGACCAATGGCTTGGATCGGGGTGGGTCCTCGCCTAACGACCGTGTGGGATCCATTTAATGACAGCAACTGCCATCACTGAGCAGTGTGGTCATGTGATATTTTGCTTAATGACTGCTTTGCTTAGCAATGGAGTTGCCAGTCCCAATTAGGGTCGTTAAGCGAGGACTACCTGTATTTCATTCCCACAACCACCTCTGATCAGGTCATTGGCCTGAGTGTAGTTGGCCCACAGTCACCCAGTGAAATCTGTGGATACTTGAACCTAAGTCTCTCCAATCTGGGTCACATATCTTAACCACTACAGACGTATGTTCACCTTCATAATCCATATGGGATATTCAGTGTCATTTTTCTTGACTACAAATGTTTATTTTTTATAGGTTTTAAGCTATACACCCCTGCACTCATTATGTAATGAATATTTTTTCTGAAATGGACTTAGATCTCTGCTGGGGCTACCTTCTTCTTGGCTGCAAAACCCAACTCTGAGAAGTAATAAAATAATTATCTGCATAAGCATGCCTTCCTCTCAGGTCTGAGCTAACTACCTTGTGTAGCCGGCCTTGGCTGTCTCCCAGGAAAACAACCGTGTGTCCGTCTTCGATGCTGGCAGCCACGGCCGTCAGTCGGGCATCTGACTTTTCCAGGACCGGTGCCGCTTCAAGTGGTACTCGACTCGCCATGGGACTAGGGGTGTGGTCTGAGCCACAAGGATAGGCAGCCAAAGTGTCCTTTGGAGGGAGGAAGAAAACAAGATCAGTCAATGTGGGGCGGGGGTGGCTCTGATTATTTACCCAGGGACACTAATATCTCATGGCAGATTTCAAGAATACTCATCACCGCCAAGTGGGTAGAAGGTGGATGGGAACGGAATAGAAGAATCACAAGATGTTGTGTACTGCACCAACAAATGTTTTCTCCTCCCCATAACTTAAAAGTAGTAACAACAGGGCTTTTTTTTACCCTTGGCTCATGCTTACTATTATAGTAACTCAGATATAGGTACTCCATCATCACCACCACCATCTGCATATTTGTAAATCACCTTCCAATCGTTAAGTGATGGAGACAATATATAGAAATTAGATAAAACAATTAAACAATATAACGTATTTCCCATCTCGTTCATTGTTCATTTTACCTGGATTGCATATCGTTGTTTGGTTTTTATGCTGTGAGCCACCCAGAGTTGACTGGAGTTGGATGGCATCCAGGTTGAATAAAATAATTAAATACATCTAAGAATAATGTATCTAAGAATTAAATCAATCAATCGATCAATCAGAAGCCAATGCATTTATTACAATGCAACATTTTTTTTCTTCCTAGCGTTTTTCCAGCATGTGAAGGGTCCACATTTTTTTCTGGATCAACCAAATGTTGATCCATTGGTTGCAACAGGAATTGACCGACCGGCTTGTCACCCGAGCCTGACGTTGGTAATCAGAAGACAATATCAGAAACAAAAGCTTAACAAAAATTGTTTTCGCTGCTGACCGAAAGCGTAGCAAATACCTTTTTTGCGGAGGGTATTCCAGTGTTTGAAAATTAGGAACAGTTTTGAATGGAAGGAGGCAAGTCTTTAACTATTTTGATTACAAATGCTATAGAGTTTTATAGAGAAGAACCAGCATTAGGAACTGGATTCCAGAACGAACCAGAAGCGCTAAGTTACATGGTCTATAACATGCATAGCAGTCAGCAGTTTATCTGCTACATTTTCCAGCCGATGTAGATTCTGCCCTTTGTAGACTGTGCTGGAGTAATCTAAGGCAATTTTGCACTGCCGTTTAAGCCGCTTGTTGGTGGGGTGCTCCTGGCTGTTTCTTAAGCCAGCTTCAGAAAGTCCAGTCTGGATTGCAGAGGGTTGGCAATGCGGCCCAGCTGATGCTCAGTTTGGACTGCAGCCATCAAGGCACTGATTGGTTGTTCTCCTGCTCCCATCCATGCAGGGAAGGGAAGGCTGATTGGTTGGCTCCTCTGTAGACCGGTCCAACTGCACCTGCCTTTCCTTTGAGGGATTGTTCCCGCCTCACTAGTCCCCGTGCCTTTCCTTTGCTTTTCCAGATGTTTGCACACATGGCTGCCTTCCCACACTATCTCCCTTGACCCTAATGCAGAGGCCACCGCTGGATCCTCTGCAAGATTATAAAATAATGGCAGCTGCTGATCATCAGAAAACACAGCAGCCTGATAGGCCAGGAAGAAATGGCTGTGTGGAAGGACCAGGTGCTGTAGCCCGGCACAGCCTTATCAAAATAGTAATATATTGGAAAGAAACGCCGCAGACCATGCTCATTCTGAAGGCAGTTCAGGTTGGAAAGGAGCAGTACTGACTCGAAGCTGGAGTGCATTTGCAACAGGACGGGAGCAGGAAGAGGGGAACTACATCTGTTCCTGCACTCAGGAAGCGATGAGGGGTCTGGACGGGCCAAGTAGAAAGGGCAGAT